AGGTAAATAGTAGATACGTTATCATTAAAAAATAATCTTATAGTATGAAACTGCTCAATTTATATAAAAAAAAAAAAAAATTATTTCAACCAATAATAAAATTACAACGGAGGAATATTAGGTATTACAATTTCTTAATAAACTTGTTATTGTTCCTAAACGTCATCAAGTTTAATTTTCGTTAGGTTTACTTGTTCACATATATATGCAAATATGAAATTAAAATAAAATATTAAAGCTGGTCGATCATCAATGATGTGGGTTTTTCTTTTATAGAACTTTTGATTAGAAAGTTAATGGTTTTCAGGAAATTTTTAAATATATTCTCCGGTATTTATAAAACCTTAAATAACAAACAAAATATGTATTATGTTTGCAATAGTACAATATTATATTATTATATTATATGTATGCTGACTTACCTATATCCAACGATAAATCGTCGCTTCCTCTGCACAACCAGGCACTGCAATTTATACCACCGTCCTTACAAAACATAAACTTATGGTTACATCTTATATGCATATTATAACATCCATGCATTATGGCTTTATGCATAATTCTTTTAATGTTGAATATGATGATAAAGTTCGTATTATTGAAGCTTCATATGAAGAAGGCACCAAACATGATGTTGAAGTTCAAGTAGGTAAAAAAAAAACTAAAAATATTGAAAATTGGAAACGCAATAAATGTAAAATGCAAAGGCGTCTGAAGAATAACTTGTCAGTTTGCGTGGGAAGCTAGTTTTATCGAGGAAAATCGGACCAGATTGTAAATGTAAAAACAAATGTTTTGTTAAATTGATGAAGAAAAAAATATAGGATTTTTCATTGTCAAAAATAGGAGAAAAATAAGCTTTTCTATTCTATCATACCGTTTTATAGAACACACAACATGGGTTATACTCAAGTGTATCTGTACATTCTACTGCCAAAGACCATTTTATACTTCAAAAACCTAATACTAAAACATTAAGCCTACCAACAAATGATTCTTTATTATACAGTGGACCATTGAGTATTAAAGAAGCTAAACTGAAAGATGTGAGAGATCTGGCATCGAAGTATGTTCCTCCTGAACATTTATGGTATTATTCAAATCTCAGATCAGGTGAAGATGAACAAAATTAAGCCTTTGATCAAGACTGTTTAGAAGACTGAATAAAATAAGAATATTAAATTTAAAATTGAATTTGTATTTAATATGTTTTCAAAGATTTGACATTCATTTATTATTTTTTCAATATTTTGTTATATTTATAAAAAGAAGTAATAATTACAATTCCGATAAATATATAGATTTGTGGGGTAAATTATCATTTGTATTTTTCTATTGTGTATTATATTATTTTAGTGTTATATTATATGTTGTCGAGCATGTCAGTAATCTAGTCGTAATTATAATGATATTACTGTCGCGACCGGTTTGCCTATCGCGAATCGACTCAGTCTAGAGTCCTGTGTAACTTTGTCATTATTTTTAGTCGTTCCGTACCCGCTTGAGGCTTATATGAACATTCAACGTTATGTGTGTGACGAATGAATAAACTATACAGTATTATTATTGAAATAATTATTTAATAGCCTTTGTTAATTTATTATTCTACCATATTAGTACCTGAGAACCTGAGATTTTAAACGTGTTGTTACACAAAAAGTATAATATTCATTGGGTATTTTTGTTCACATATATGAGCAGTCAGTAGAATTAATATATGTATGAAGCCAGAATATGAGATTAAAATATAATAATCCAGTTGGACGAACATATTGACAGTTAATTTACTATTAATTATATAATCATGTTCAACTAATGTTTAATCATTTAAAATATGTTGGTTGGTCCTCTTTACACCGTGTTACCACTTATTTCATACTTTTTGAGGATCATTGCAATGTAAAAACTTTGTTATAAGTTACAACTTATTGACTTTAAGTGGTTTCTTGTGGCTTTGAAAATCGATCTAGGACATCTTGGCGTGGCCATCTTGGCGTGGCCATTTTGGCGTGGCCACTTTGGCGTAAACCAATTTGGCGTATGGCAATTTTGGCGTATAGTTATTTCGGCGTAAGACTATTTTGGCGTTTTGGACTAATATGATTAGTACCTATACGAGTAATATAATAAATAATAAATAACAATATAATAATCATGTATAATAATTAATAGAGTAGGTTGAGTAAAAAATCAATTGATATAAATGTATTAGGTAATAAAAAAGTTATTTACTTTAGGTTAGGTTAGTTCATATAAATAAAAATATAAATATAAATGTATATAAATAAAATGTAATTGACTTTGAAAGTTTTAGTTTTGAGTAGGTTCAATTGATATAAATGTATTAGGTAATAAAAAAGTTATTTACTTTAAGTTAGGTTAGTTCATATAAATAAAAAATATAAATATAAATGTATATAAATAAAATGTAATTGACTTTGAAAGTTTTAGTAACAACTTATATTTTGAGCTATTCCCCTTAAAAAACTAAGCATGTTGCGATTGTTGTAATCTTCTACAATTTTAAAAATTCTTTTGTCGACATCTATAAATTTTTTTTTTCTTTTTCGGAGGACTATTTCCAGCTTCTAGATGTTGATAAAATATATCACGTCCTGACTGAACTTTTCTTAAGTTTGTGATAAATGTCCACAATGTTGGATGTTGTACACCCATTTGTAAATTCAGTCGTCTATTGGCTGCTTCAGCGTGGTTATTTGTCCTGTCTTCTTTATTTAATACCCGTTCATGCACAGACGACAGATATATCAGTCTGCTTTTGTAGTTTACATAGTAAATATAGTAATATAATATTAAATATTTTATTACGCCAAAATCTAACGCCAAAATAGTCTTACGCCAAAATAGTCATACGCCAGAATGGTTTACGCCAAAGTGGCAACGCCAATACGTCCACGCCAAGATGACCACGCCAAAATGTCCGGGTCCGTTTGAAAATGTTTCCATAAACGATTTTAATGAATATTGGTTTAAATTAATTTAAAATATATATCTTTTTACTTTGTTTAATAGTGTTCATATGTAGCCATATATAGGTAGATTCATCAATGTCTGTAATCTGTATTGAATAATAATTATGTTTTATCTTAGAAATTATCGACGGAGGTTTTTTCATCAACTTTACAAAAAAATGGAAATGGTAACCTAATTTCCACCAATGGGAAATCTGTTTCAATGTGTAAAATACGAAAACGTATATAATCCTTAAAATGGAATCCTTGGAATTGTGAATCATTTTATCCTGTCATATACCCCGATCATTTCCGGCGCACACGAATAAACGAAAAAATAGTATTAAAAGCACTTTTATTAAACACTGCCGTTCAGTGGTGATCGCGTATACTATCTGTCTTTACGTATTTTCATATATCAATTTTACTATCCAAGCACTATCAGTAATATCGATATTAAGTTCAACCTAGTTATATCGTACTTATTGACTTTGCTTAAAATTACCTATACTAATTGTTATTTTATTAAATAATTTTGCTAACTTAACCTAATTTGGTGGAATGCAATATGTTTCTACGCTGTTACTCAACTTATGTTCAATGGTAATATTATACCACTATCAAAATAGTGTAGTGTAAAATATTGTAACTTTATGTCATAAATCATAATGGATAACACATATAAGGATATCTATAATAACAATTGTATCTATCAATCATATTAGAATATGATACAAACCTAAAAGTTAAGTGTTTCACGAAGTAGAAGTTATAGAATAGTAACTTGGTACTTCAGAAATATATTTATTTAACTAACTTAATGTACCTAATAATAATATAAATATTTAATGAACTATAATCATTATGTTAGATACCTATCATATCCAGTATCCGGGAAGCCGTAATGCAAATGGCGGTTCTCTCCCAGCTCCTAGATAATACAAAAAAAAAAGTTACCTAACCTATACTTCGTTCAAGTTAATACACGTAGTCGGCGGCCGACGGCGTGACAACACTTCAATACTGGTATGCAGATAATTTATGGGTGGCCAGTCCCGATCAGAACAGTCGTGCCGTCGTGTTCATTAGCATATCACAGTTGATAATTTTCAGCGCCAACACTTCCGTTTAACATTACAAAATCATGGAGAGGTGTTTATTAATTAGAATATTTTTTTTTATAGATAGAGGATAAGTCAAATATTTTAACTATTATTTAAAATATATTTCTATATTAATTATTATTATTATACATATTGGCACCAAATAATTTATTTATTATTAATAACCGTTAGTCGCATCGCTGTCTAAAACACCGGGTATTTATAATTTTTCAAATTACTCATTGTAAGTAATTTACATTATTTCGTGTACTTTAATACCTTCAATGTCCAAGTCAAGCTATCATTTAGTGATATTTAAAACAACTATCTATTGTTTGTTGAATTTATAGATATCTACCTATTTTTAAAGTCGCAAACCTAAAAAGACCGTGTGTGACTAAACTCGGAATTAATTTTGTTCAATATTATTTTCGTCGCTGATTATTTTTTTTGAAAAAAAAAACCATCATCATCGTTTCTTCTTATTGATAGTTATCAATTTTATCAATATTGTTTGTTCATACATTTCATATTATATTTCATATTTTTTCTAATTATTTTTTATTTGACACTTGATACAACCGTACAGGTCAAGGAGTATGTGTAAATTGTTAAAATTTAAATGAAAACAATTCAGAATAATTTTAAAACTACATGGAACAGTCTTTAGCTAATAACGTTGATGTTGAGAATGTAATAATTGAAGAATTTTAAAATTTGGTACCATTTAATCGTCGTCTATAATTATATTTTTTTTTATTTATTTTTAAATATTTAAAATGTTAAGAAATATTCATTATATATATAAATTAAACAAAATTACTGTATAAAGTTATTTTAATAGCATTTTTTTTTATATTTGTCATTTAACCTGCACTAATACAAGTGTCTAGTTTCGCCTATGTTAAACTATTATTAAATCTATTTAAAAGGGGGGCTTGATTTCAAATACATAAAGTACACAGCTATAAACTTCATTATTACGAGTATGATAATATCGAAGTCTGTACGTCCCGTAAACAAATGTTTTAGGCAAATTGGTGTTTAAAAATAACGATGTATCCACGCCTATAGCCGTATAATTGCCCTAAAAGTATAAAATAATTTTTAATACAATTATTTATTGAAAATTAAAATAGTGTCGACACTATCTATATTATGCAATTATTATAAAGTAAAATTGTATGAAATAAAAATGATTAACTTTTGACGATAACATCCATCAAGTGAAATAATATTTTATTTAATGTAAATAATGCTTGAATGCATAATATTGATCAAGTTATAACTTATATTTGATGAAAGTTACTTTTATAATTTTTCGATGAAATTTTACTTTAAAATTGTAATTATATAACTATAATGTCTTATTATACCGGTGGTATAGGGCATGTGGCATTCTTTATTCCTAAATCGGTCATCACCGTGGTCCACTCAGCTCCCATTATATTCCTGAATGTCGAGCAAGCTTTTGGAGACTTGTGCATATATGTATTGTCTTTCCAATTTCCGTCTGCTCCTCGGGATGCAACATTTGCTTCCATCTGGGAAAATGTGGACAGCTTAATAATTTATTACTATATTAAAAGAGTAACATAATACTATGTGATACATGTAGCAACAGATAAAATACATTAGGAGTTGTTTGTACACTCCAAAGATTCCAGTCCCATAGTTATCCGAACGGGTGGATCATATGTTAGGACATGAAATAATCGTTGTTTTTATTCTGTTGTCATGTCAAAGTACAATAAATAATGGCAAATTTTCAGACTTTGTTTAAAACAGATTTAGTTATTATTGAAAGCTATACATCATTAGTACTTACAAACATAGTGTCATCAAATGGAATGATACTGATTGTGGTTCCTCTGATTTCAGTTGAGTTAGATATTTGGTTATAGCTCAGATAAAAATTATGTTGTATTTTATAGAATTTTGAAGGATCACAAATCCTTACCTGTTTAAAGTTCACTTTATATGGACCCTAAACAGAAATTATTCAATTATGTAGGTATCTATACCGTATTCAAAACAATAAAAATATATAGTAGGTTTAATTTTAAGTATTATAAAAAAAATGATTGATACATAATATTCTCATTACCAAATGGAAACATCTTTTTGATGTTTGATTGAACATCAATCACCAATAAACACAATGTTATATAAAATAAAATAAATAATAATGGCTTACCTATCCAGGTAAATACTGTATGCCATTAAAATATTATAGAAATAAGAACAAGTATTAGACACACCAATCTCACACACAATACAATTGAACACCATGAATAACCCTACAGCAGCTAATATGACGAACCACTCGCTATAAAACTGACTCAATTTGCATATTTTCATTGAACCATCGGTATTAATACCATATAATTTAAGTAAAAAAAATTCACATTCTAGTAACTATAGCTTAATGAACCAGTTTTTGAACATTTTTCTTGATATTTATATCTCAATAATATGCCAGAAGAAAATGAGAAATCTCCCCAAAAATATGTAAAACAAAAGCAATGTATTGTCCACTGATGTCTCACATATTCATTTTAAAAAGTAATCACTTACTAATGGTAATGCAGAAAAAATATTTAAATTTCTCGATCCAGTACATGATATTGAAGACGATCGAAACAATAACAATGTTAGTAAATTAACTAAAAAAAAATCATTATGGCGCGTTTAAGTTTAGTTTTTTAACCGGCAATAGTTAGACAGAGTTTTATACTTAGTTATATTCATAAACCACAGAACTGTGTTACCTATTTTGTTCCTATGGATATCAATAATATTATAAAGAACGAATAACATTGAAATTTTATTGTAACTATTTTATTGTGTCACATTGCACTGTAAATTATAAATAGGTTAGAATTGTAGTTGTTATGTTTGTAATTGCAGATCGTGTCATCATGTTTACTGCATATACCTATATATTTGCATTTTTTTTCAGGATGTTCATTGGTTATCATTATTTAGAATTCAAAACTATGAATAGTTTCATCTGATAAGTATCAAAAATAATAGTTTATTTCAAAATATTGTAGAAGTCGAAGTTGCACAAAACAAATCCTTTAATAATACATGTATTATAAATATTTTTTTTTTTAGAATATTACTACACATTAAGCTTAACATTTAAATGTGAAATTAAGCTGACATTTTAGATGTATTTCAAAATAATCATGAAATATTTCAACTTTTTTTAAAATTACCTCAATGTAACAAGCAACTATCATTATTAAATTATTATTATGTAAGGCATTCTTCAATTCGTGGGGAAAATAATATTATCATACCTACTTATTGTTCCAATTTGTCTATACTATTATTTTAGATTAAAGTATCTTTACTTCTCAAAACATCTAGGAAATAGACAATTATAATTTAAAATAACTTATAAGTAAAGACCTGATTTAATTGCGTTAAAATTATGTTAAAATTGTACTAAAAATATGTCAAAATTATTAATATATTATTATTATTGACTGCACATTAATTTTGTATCTTATAAATCGTATAAGAATCTATAAGTATCTATAGATCGCGTCTTATATTATTAGGAAAAACCAGTTTAATATTTTTACTATAAAATTACCTAAGAAATAATAATTCGTATATTTCCTTTTTTTATCAAGTGAAAAATACAAAAATTGCAAAACATTGCAACATAAAATTAAATAGATAGACTTTACTTAGCCTGTTTCGTGTACATATTTGATCAAATTTAAATTGACTGATATCAATGAAAAGTTGCAATATTAAATCTGGTCTTAAGTTTTAAAGATTACCTAGAAAATTAATAAATTTTCAAATCATATAGATGTCAAGATGAATATTATTAGATAAGAATTGTTATCGTATCCTCACACGCTACAGTAGGTACCTAAATATTTTACGAATAAGATTTTTTATAGGAATATTATTAATATCTATAAAGCCGATTCTGCGGAGCTCCGTATAGATAAAATTATAAATTATAATACATACTAGATATTTATGATACCCACGACTGTCCTAGGCCATTATACATAAGATTATTTTAAATGTTTATACCATGAAGACTAGAGATAAGGAGGCCAAACTCTACCACGAAAAACGTCCCGTAAAACATAGCCACGGACTAAGATATACAGGACTGGTAACGATAAGGCTGGAGGGTGGTAGAGGGCTGGATACCAAATGTTTTCAATAGGTACATGTGGGACACCTAGCGCTATCTAGTAGGCTTATAGCGCTCATCTACCATTACTTCTCTATAAATACATTGGCACAGAAAAATAAATTACATTTTTCTCATTGCATATTTTATATTCATTCCATTAGTAAATAGTAGAGTATTTAGACTTTAGAAATTTACTTACTACTTACTAGAGCGTCTAGATCTACTGCTTGATTCATTTAAATAGTTACGACTATTTTCAACATTTGTGTTGAAATTATAAAATTAAAATGCCTCGCCAGTGTTCAGTATTTTTATGTACCACTAAGGAACGGTCCAATGTTCAGTTGTTTAAAGTTCGAGAATCGTGGGAGGAAATTATTAATGAAGTAAATGGTAATCATAAACGTAAAGTGACATACGTCTGTGAAAAACATTTTAGGAAAGAAGATTTGATTAACAGTTATAGTGGGTGTAATGACTTGGAAGTAAGAAAACATAATTATTTGTATTTAGCCATTTAGGTAGGTACTATATAAGTACCTACTTGGTCATTATAAATTATAAATTATAACTCAATAATTCTATACACAGTTTAAAAGGAATTTAATTAGGCTAAAAAAAGGTGCTTTTCCATCAGTATTTAATTCACCATTTGATATTCACAAAACAAATGATTTGCCTGCAGAACCTCGAGAATCTTGTACACCTGTTACTGAGTCATTTAGGAAAGAATTGTTTTTTGACCCAAGCCTTAAGATTATGTCAAACACCAACATTAATAGTATGCTTGTGATTAATTGTCATAATAGACCATGTAGATTATTTAATTTATATATACCTACCTAACTTCATAGTTCATATGATTTATTAAATGAATCAAAACTGTGGTATGAAAGTTTATTATTGCCAGTTGGTTGGTCATTATATCATAATGGATGTATTGTTGCATTGTATAAGCTGATTAAATTCATAGAATTTAATGAAGCTAAAATTGTTATTGAAAAACAAATTGTTTTTGAATCAAATAGTTTAAAAGTGAGCTATTATGTTAATCAAAAGCGTCGAAATCCTGACAATTTGGGTCTACAACAATTAACATACCCACTTGATACATTGCAAATTACTGAAACCCTTCAATTGTTTGAACAAAAAGAAATATGCCAAGGAGGTCCCAGTGTCATACATTTTTCAGGTATGAGTTTTAAATGTTAAATAAAACAGCTGTATTATAGGTACCTACCTAAACCAATTTTTATTTAGGAATTCGGGTTAAGAATACTTATTTAGAGAATACAACCTGGCGCTATAATGAATGTTCTATTCTAACAAGTTCAAAAAAAAGATTTAAAAAGGTGCAATTCATTGTTCCCTTATTTTAGAGAGTATAAAAAAAGATTATCTATAAGAACTAAAATATATGTTGGAACTTGGAACAACTCTCACTCCTACAAGACACAAAATAATTAAAGGGATGATAAAAAAATCGAAAAATGTTAAGAAATCGAACAAAAGGTAAAATTAATTTAAACTAATTAGGTACCTATTTATTTATTAAAATACTTTTTAATATTTTATTTTTCAAAGGTTTAAATTAAAAATTAACCAATTAAATTGTACATTGAGTGAACTACAAGATAAATCAAAGAACTTAACAGATAAATCATTAAATGATTTAGTTGAACATACAAACTTAAATAGTTCACAAAAAACAATAGTCCAAGAAATCGTAAATGCTAGTAAAGTCACCAATTTAAAAAATAGACGTTATACCTATTCAGAGAATTGGATTTTATTATGCATGTTGTTGAAAATAAGGTAAAAATATTCACTTAGACAAAGAGTGGTCAAAAATATTAATTATTCATTTTTTTCAGATCACCTTCCACTTATGGATTTTTAAGGGAACAAGGGAACAAGTATATCTTAGTCCGTGGTTTTGGGGTAGAAAAAAAACTGTAATGGAATGTAATACCCAATGTCGATGGTAATATATTAGTGTACACTGTACTTTCAACCGTCAAAACTTACATACCGTCAAAAAGTGATTTCCTATAGTACAAAAGATAGGTATCAAGTTTGGTTCGGATTAGGATATTACAGCTCAAGTCAATAATTATGTAGAAAATATAAATTAAATATATATATATATATTAACACATACGTGGGGATTTAATGGTTCCAACCTAAACCGAAATGTTTTCAAACAATGTTATTTTTCGACATGCAGTATTATATTATTATTTTACCTATGTAAAATACAATTTTGAATTTTTTAAATATTATTTTGTAATAATAAATTTGTATCAACTATTCGAGTCAATTTGACTATATTAACGTTCAAGCGTTCTACACAATACATAATACATATTATTATTTAAAATTCTTGTATGGTTTATATAACCGTCCATGTCATATCCGCCAGTGTAATACGTTATTTTATGATTTATTCCGCAGTAACTCGTCGCCTTTAGTGCTTGATGGCTTGAATATTTCTTGAAACATATTATAATATCTGTGTAGCGTTTATACTGCAGGTCTACGGCCATTATACTCTGTATAAATCGACCAACGAGTTTTTTTATTTAAAATATATATTTTAACGTTTTTATAGTCGTTAAATCTGTAAAAATTGATTATACACTAAACTAAACGAAAAAAAAAAGAAACAACATTTTTTTTTGTGTTCACAAAATATGTTTATTATAACAAAAAGGCCGCGAATAAGAAGAAAAAAAACCGAAATTAAAATGTGTGAACAACTTAACAATTTTGAATTTTGAAATGACTTAAATTTAAAGAAAAAAAAATACGACAGACAGGATAGACACAATAAACAAGGGGGTAGGATGCGAGATGGCGATTGGTGCAGAAATGCAGTGTTGCTGGCCACTGGTCATCTCTGCACGTTCTCCGACCTGTCCCGCGGGTTGACGAGTGTTGCTGGCGCGTTTGCTCGGACGCTTGACGACCTTGCCCAGCCGGCGAGGCCAGACCGAGACGGCCACGGTTGCGACCCCGGTTGCGACCACGGTTGACGGCGACAGACGGCGACTAGTGCGCGATGTCGTGCGCGTCGACGGTCGACCGAGTGACGACTCGTGACGACGGACGGCGAAGACCAAGACGTGGAGCCTGTTATGAACGCATTAGCTATTAGTATATAGTATTAGCCCTTTGTATTAGAATATAAGAGTATATTATTGTAATCTGCGGGTAACGCCTAATGTGTGGGCGACTCCCGGAATATTGCAGCTACACGGCAGCCGCTAGGGAACCGTGGAGTCAGTCGTCTTAGCTCTTTTAAACCTGTACGTCGTTCTGACAGTCAATTATAAATATTACAGTGAATTATAAATTTCGACTCACAATAAAATTATATTAGTATTTAAATCTTTAAAACTGTTTTGTTGTACTCTCTCCAAAAATTGAACCCTCACACTACCGAAATAACAACGTTCAAACGGAACAACCCGTACGAGCACAACAACTGGTGGCAGCGGTGTCGCGGTCATAATTTTTGGAAAAGAAACAACTTCAGAAGGATAACTAATATATCTAATATATATCTATTCGAGGTAATTTTATACTTCATTTTGCAAATATTAAAACTACTTCGTCCACGTAGGTATATCGTCATAAGGACTATATCAATTGAGAGGTGGCATATAAGTCGCTCTCGTCAAAAAAGTTTTTCACGGGCGTTCCAGTTGTCAACAACAAGCGCACCGTCTATAGTGGACACGCATTGTATTCAACGTCGTGATCTACTCTTCACAACACCATTATAGTCACGGTGCCGCCGCCGTA